CTCTTACCGCCATGCCTTTCCCTCCATGATGGGCTGTACCCTGAACTTTGAACCAAAATAAACCCTTCCTCCTTTTAAATGCTTGTCAGGTATTTGATCACAGCAATGAGTTCCCATATAGCCCAGACGTCACAGATGACACAGAACACTAAAGTTGAAGGCATTTGATATGCATTAAAATTTTGGATCTTTACCATCATTCTGGAATTGATTTACATTTATTTTCCCTAAAATGGCTAGAGTAAGGTAATAGTCTAAAAGAGATCCCAGGAGGCTTGGGTAGTGTGGAGGACCTCAGCCTACCTGCTGCATGTGGCCCAGAACTGCAGTCAAACACGCCTTTGCCCTCCTCCGAGTATAGCTGGTAGATGAAGTCAGTGGTGTAATTCACACTGCAGCTTTCATTTCTGAAACGAATGTTTAGGAACCAGGGTCATTCACTGGCAGTGGGGACAGGATCAAGGCTTTCTAGAGAGGAACACAACCTCCATCCACCTGCCCAGGGCCCAGGGTGCCCAGCCATCTGTCAAGTCCCCCTCCCGCCACCTCCATCCCTAACCTGACTCTGTAAAGACCAGGAGGCTTCAGTAAATGAGCGGCAGATAGCTTGAAAATAATATATTGTGGACCACAGAGCAAAAACTTACAACAAAACGTTACCCTTTACTTAAGTGCAAGCCTGTTTTTTAACAGTTCAGCTCTGCACCTCTGTGTCTTTTCAGTATTCACGGCATTAGAGGCAAAGGCAGATGCTGCTTGGGTTTTAGGTCATAACAATGGGTTCCGTCGAAGGACCTCCATGTGAAGAATGTAGGGCTGAAGATTGGGACTGTTTTTCCTTTACCTGAGTGCGAGGCCCCTCTGGATGGTAGTCTTCATTTTCTCTGTCAGGTGCTCCACGTTGGACTAGAAAAGGGTATTTTATTATTCAATCAGGCCACCTCCTAGGTACCTCCTAGAATGCTAGAGTACAGATAAGCACGGTGAGCTGCTTTGATAGCTTTTGTGGGGCACTACAGTACCCAAGGTTGGGCAGTGGCCAAATGATGGTATCCATAGCAATTAGGCTGTGTGAAAGAGG